AAAAGCCTCCGGATTCGGAGTGCCCTTCGTGGATATCATGATTGGCCAAATAGTCTCCAGATTCGGAGCCCCATCGGCGATGATGCCTTTTGGGCCGAAAAAGCCTCCGGATTCGGAGCGCCCTTCATGGATATCACGATTGGCCAAATAAAGACTCTGGATTCGGAGCCCCAACGACGCACGACGCCTTTTTTCGGAAAAACCCTCTGGATTCGGAGCATCTTTCGTGGATATCACGATTGGCCAAATAAAGACACTGGATTCAGAGCCCCATCGGCGCACGACGCATTGGGGCTGAAAAAGCCTCCAGATTCGGAGCGCCTTTCGTGGATATCACGATTAGCCAACTGAAGATTCCGGATTTCGAGCCCCCTCGGCGCACGACGCCGTTGGGCCGAAAAAGCCTCCGGATTCGGAGCGCCCTTCATCGATGTCACAATTGGCCAAATAAAGACTCCGGAATCGGAGCCCCATCGGCGCTCGACGACTTTGGGCCGAAAAAGCCTCCGGATTTGAAGCGCTCTTCGTGGATATCACGATTGGCCAACTAAAGACTTCGGATTCGGAGCCCCTTCAGCGCACGACGGCTTTGGACTGAAAAAGCCTCCGGATTCGGAGCGCCCTTCGTGGATATCACGATTGGCCAAACAATGACTCCGGATTCGGAACCCCATCTGCGCATGATGCCTTTGGGCCGATAAAGCCTCCGGATTCGGAGCCTCATCAGCGTATGACGCCTTTGGGCCGATAAAGCCTCTGGATTCGGAGCGCCCTTCGTGGATATCGCGATTAGCTAATCAAAGACTCTGGATTCGGAGCCCCATCGGGGCAAGACGCCTTTGGACCGATAAAGCCTCCGGATTCGGAGCGCCCTTCGTGGATATCACGATTGGCCAAACAATGACTCCGGATTCGGAACCCCATCTGCGCATGATGCCTTTGGGCCGATAAAGCCTCCGGATTCAGAGCGCCCTTCATAGATATCACGATTGGCCAAACAAAGACTCCGGATTCAGAGCCCCATCAGCGCATGACGTCTTTGGGCTGATAAAGCCTTTGGATTCGGAGCGCTCTTCGTGGATATCGCGATTGCCCAATCAAAGCCTCCGGATTCGGAGCCCCATCGGCGCATGACGCCTTTAGGCCGATAAAGCCACCGGATTCAGAGCCCCATCGCGCATGACACCTTTGGGCTGATAAAGCCTCCGGATTCGGAGCGCCCTTCATGGATATCGCGATTGGCCAATCAAAGCCTCCAGATTCGGAGCCCCATTGGCGCAAGACGCCTTTGGGCCGATAAAGCCTCCAGATTCGAAGCTCCATCGGCGCATGACGCCTTTGGGCTGATAAATCCTCTGGATTCGGAGCGCCCTTCGTGGATATCACGATTAGCTAATCAAAGACTCCAGATTCGGATGGCTCAAGACGCCTTTGGGCTGATAAAGCCTCCGAATTCGGAGCGCCCTTCGTGGATATCCCGATTGGCCAAACAAAGACTCCGGATTCAGAGCCCCATCGGCGTATGATGCCTTTGGGCCGATAAAGCCTCCAGATTCAGAGTGCCCTTCATGGATATCACGATTGGCCAAACAAAGACTCCGGATTTGGAGCCCCATCAGCGCATGATGCCTTTGGGCCGATAAAGCCTCCGGATTCGGAGCCTCATCAGCGTATGACGCCTTTGGGCCGATAAAGCCTCTGGATTCGGAGCGCCCTTCGTGGATATCGCGATTGGCCAATCAAAGCCTCCGGAGTCGGAACGCCATCGGCGCATGACACCTTTGGGTCGATAAAGCCTCCGGATTCGGAGCCCCATCAGCGCATGACACCTTTGAGCTGATAAAGCCTCCGGATTCGGAGCGCCCTTCGTGGATATCACAATTGGTCAATCAAAGACTCCGGATTCGGAGCCCCATTGGCGCAAGATGCCTTTGGGCCGATAAAGCCTCCAGATTCGAAGCGCTCTTCATGGATATCACGATTGGCTAATCAAAGACTCCGGATTCGAAGCCCTATCGGGGCAAGACGCATTTGAGCCGATAAAGCCTCTAGATTCGGAGCGCCCTTCGTGGATATCACGATTGGCTAAACAGACTCTGGATTCGGAGCCCCATCGGCGCAAGACGTCTTTGGGCCGATAAAGCCTCTGGATTTAGAGTCCCATCGACGTATGACACCTTTGGGTCGATAAAGCCTCCGGATTCAGAACCCCTTCGTGGATATCACAATTGGCCAATCAAAGACTCCGAATTCGAAGCCCCATCGGCGCATGACACCTTTGGGCCGATTAAAGTATGGCCGATTATAGACCGTATAAACAAAGGTCGAAAAATGCAAATATTGAAAATGAGGTTGTTCAAGCTGCATAAACATAATCTAAAACGTGCAAACATTCAGAATAAAATATGTACTAATATAAACAAGTACGCTACAAATTGAAAACTAAGCGTTTTATTAAAATCAGCCAATAAATACGTAATTTTGTTTTCTATCTACATAAGCATTACAAGGTCTTCTTCTATTCGGCGGCTCCTTCATCATCACTCTTCTCAATTTCGAAAGCCGAGAAGGGGAAATCATTCTGTTGGTACAACGGCAATGCAGAATCCAACCCTACTGCCCGGAGAGCCTCAGCTTGCTAAAGTGCCTTGATCCAGCCGTGCTTAAATCCATGATTTTCACATCGGCAAACTTCTTCGATGAGTTTCTCTTTGGTATTCTGAATTCCGCCCTTTCGACCATCATGGAAACCTTTTTCATAGGTCGCAGCCCTCGCAGTCTCAATCGCGAACATGCTAGCCGTGTTCTGATCGATGATTGCATCACTAATCAGCCTTTACGTAACCCTCTCTTCCACAATCGGGTTGGGGTGGCTGGCTGAGTGAGGCTCGGCAAACTTGATTTTCCTTAGCTCACGCTCAGTCTTCTCGGCGTGAGCTTCTAACTTCCGAATGCACTCGTCTCTCTGTTCTATATTCCGACGAGCGGCGCGGAGACGCATGCCGATTTCATAAGAGGTGTACAATCCTTTCATCGCCCCGTGAACACCTTCACGAAACACCTCGAAGTCCTGCCGACCTACCATCGACTGCTGGACTTCAGGTGGAAAAATCTGTCGAGCGAATTCGACCGCCACATTTGGATCTCAAACGATGGAATCTGCCCCTGTCATTGGTCCATTACCCACAAAGACCGCAAAACTCAATGGGCGAGGAGTGGCGCAAGGTTCCCTTCCAGGATGGGGTTGAGGAGACTTACGCTATGGCTGCTTGTCCCTCCTGGGTGACCTACTTCGATGACGAGGAGATTGGTGTCTCTCCCGATCTCTCAAAATCCTACTGCCCGTGCGCGAAGGTTCACCACTTCGACTCATGTCTCCTCCCAGCTCAGCTAGCGTCTTTGCTTCCCCTCTGCTGTTGAAGAAAAGTCTATTTGACATTTGCACTTGTTTAATTTTCCTCTAAGAACTGGACTGAGTTGCTGTCAGAGCATATAAATAGGACCGTTGTTCACAAAGTACACGCCTATTTATTCCCTACAAAGGCAGCACCTCCGAGGCAATCTCATTAATATCGAAACCTCAACAGCCCGACGCCAACTGAGTCATGCCCCAATCGCCCCGTCAACCTCTGTTATTCGGCATTCTATGTTTATGAACTAGCTGGGGCAAGGGCAGATTCATCAATCTAGTTGGCTCGAGTGCCCCAGCCGTTCCACGAATCGATTCATCAGTACAGTATTCGTAAGTTCATTTTATTCGGCGTTTTACGTTCATGAACTAGCTGTGGCAAGGGCAGATTCATCAATCTAGTCGGCTCTAGTGCCCCAGTCGTTCCACGAATCGATTCATCAGTACAGTATTCGTAAGTTCGTTTTATTCGGCGTTTTACGTTCATGAACCAGCTGGGGCAAGGGCAGATTCATCAATCTAGTCGGCTCTAGTGTCCCAGCCGTTCGATGAATCGATTCATCAGTACAGTATTCATAAGTTCGTTTTATTCGACATTTTACGTTCATGAACCAGCTGGGGCAAGGGCAGATTCATCAATCTAGTCGGCTCGAGTGCCCCAGCCGTTCCACGAATCGACTTGATCAGCGTTCATTAATCTAATTGTTTTATTCGGCGTTCTTCTTAATGAGCCAGCCAAAGGCTGACCTATCGGCACGTCATAAATTCATTTTATTTATGATTAAATAAAATTCATTAATTTAATCGGCTATTAAATTTGCCATCTCACGTAGTTGTCACATTCTGTTCTAACTGTTGATTCTTTTAATTATGTACTCATGCATCAAACAATACAAGCAATAACCTGAGAACATAGAAAATTTTCATTCATAAATTGAGTACAGCATAGTCATCATTTTATACGTGAAAATTATCCCAAGCAAATAGTTGTCTGCTAAGAAAACAAAACATGATTGCAAAAAGATACATTGAAAATAGTTAAAGTGATCCCCAAATCAATCCTCGGCATCAGACTCAAGCGGCTCAATATCCACTTGCTCGTATGGAATCGACATGTCCAATGTCACTCCAGCGGCAGCAAGGGCTTTGAGCCAACCATGTTTGAATCCTTGATTCTCGAATTTGGGGACCTCTTCTACATAGTTTTCAAGAGCGGCGCTCTTCCTAGCCTCAAATGCTTCGGACGCCTCGGAGTCGGCTTTCTCCTTCGCTGCCTTCAACTCTGACAACTCGGCCTCCAACTTGGCAAGCGCCTCCTTGGCCAACTTGAGCGATTCTTTGTTCACGTTGGCCCTCTCCTCAGCTTTTGCTCTAAGTTGGTCGGCAGTTCGCGCCCTTTCCTTCTCTGCCTCGGCCTGCGCGCTTTCCATTGTCTCTCTCATCGCCTCAAACTCAGCCCTACTCCGCTGGCCCTCCACTTCCGACTGCAAACGGCCAATCCTTTCGACGGCATCGTGCTGGCGACGGCCCAATTTGGCGATCCTTCCGACCGTCTGCAAAACAAGTTAGGATCGTCACATACCAAGAAATACCGCTTGCAAACAAAATCAAAACAAGGAGTTGGAATGAAGTTACATACTAGGAGGGCCGATTGGGTAGCTAATGCTATCGCTACCAAATCCGGCTCCGCCCGAAAGTTTGCCTTGTCAACTAGCAACGAAACCGAGGCAGTCAAGCTCAAAGCTATAGCGGGATCGTTCATGGCCGACGCTTCAGAGGAGATCGGCGTGTTTTTTATATTTGGTTGAACAACGAAAGGAACAACCACATCTGATTCCTCTAAGCGCAGCCGTTTATCGACAAGGTTCTCCTCAGAGCCGGCCTCTCCCTCGGCGACACGTTTCTCTCCCTGATCTGGAATCGACCGTTCTTCTGGATTCGGAAGATCAGCTACCTTCTCCACCTCGGCCACGCCAACGTGAGCCGTTTCTTCTACAACAATAGGTACGACAGATTCAATCGGGACAAGTCCGACACGGATGGCTTCGGCTTTCTGTCGGGCAGCCATGCATTCGGTGTTTTTCCTTCGTGCCATTTGTGTGAGATTTTCCTTAGCCATATCCTCAGAATAATCGCCGGGAAGGTCTCCCAAATTTGTAAAAATATCTCCAAAGGCATCCCCTTGGCCTGATGTAGACGGAGGATCAGACGAGTTCAACCCGGCTTCCTCAAAGGCTGAGTTAACAGCTTCATCAACTTCCGCTACCAACCGGTCCGGGTCCTCAACAATTGGCTCGGCCTCTTGTTCTTCTACATGTTCGAAATCGGATGTTTCTAAACCAATCTGTCTCAAGTTCTTGAAACTGGGGAAGATGAGGGCTGTAAGATGACTGTCGCCTCGCGCGATCAGAATGTTGTCCACCATCGAGAATGTAGTATAAGTCGGCTCGTATCAAAGTAGAATGTGGGCCGCCCTCCCCTGTTTTTGAAGGTTTGGACGATCGACGAACTGTAGCACGGCTTTGATTTCTACAAGAACAGCGTCGTCGTCTGAAACTAACACTCTCTTCAAGTCGCTGCTTGCACAAATAAAATGGTTAGATGTATATAGTGCCGAATACGAATATAGATATGGAAATAATATAAACAATTGATCCAATCGGCCACCTGGTTCGCCTTTTCGCCTCGGCACCGGGTCTAGGCGATCTTCACCTTCGTAGAACTCCCAATTACCGCAGACAACGACCATCACATCGTCGACACGCTTGCCAGAGCTGGCAAGCATAGTCACTAAGTGATGATCAGTATCCTTAGCTCTAAGAAAGTAGCGCCCTAGTCGGCCAGTAGATTTGGCTAGGACGTAACAGTGCCGAATAGAGGGTATACCTAAATTGATCCTAAGACGACGATTTAGTTCTATGATCCCCATTATGATGCAAAAGAAATTCACGTTGGGCTGAGAAGGGATTAGACCCCAATATCTAAGAACGGCCTTCAAAAGTGGGTGAAGAGGAAAGCAGACTCCGTCCTCAGCAATTGATAAGAGAGGAAAGACGATTGTGCTCTCATCTTCCCTGTCCATATCAGTGGTGCTGTCTACTAAAAGTGACAGATGGACGTCATCGGGGATGGAAAAATGGTGTCGAAAACCGGCGATTCGATCCACCGAAAGAAGCTCCTTCAAATGTGTTTGCCATTTTTTGGCCACACCCTAGAATTATGAAAAATTAAAAGCAAATAAGGAAGCGGGATCAAAAATGAAGGAGGAGAAGACTTACAGGAGGCAAAGGGAGAAACGAGAAACAAGGAGTTGTGGAAGCCGCGAAGAGAAGGAGTTGCACTAGAGGGCAAGCAAGATATCTTTGAACATTCAGAACATACATTCGAAGAGACAATTTCAAATCATATTAAATTGAGGCAGTGTACGAAGGGGCGGGAATGCGTTATAATGACCAAGAAGCATGTACGCGTTCTGACACACATTGGGAAGACGGTTAACCGTCAAATCTTTGACTTCCCAGGCTAGAAGCCAAACACGCCGACTAACTGGTGCTAGTAGGGTGTTTGGGGGGGCAATTGTGGGAGCCGAATTCCATCGGATCCATAGGGACGAATGAGCGTGTCCGGTCTGGACACGTAACCTATATTCAGCACATACCCTAGTCAATCGAAGAGCCGAATAAAATAACCGGTACCCCAGCCAGTAGAACAGAGGCCGAGTAGAGGTACATGTAATAGATCAAGAATGGGCCCAGCCCAAAGGCCCAAAGAGAATACTATAAATACGGGATCACCCATCAGAGAAAGGGAGGTGAGAACCATTGCACTTAACTTAAAATACAAGTAATTCAGAGGGTTGAGACTGACTTGCCCGTCGGAGTGCTAATTTCGACACCCCCGACCGGAGTGTTAATTCTTTTTCAGGTGGCTAGCTGAGGATAACGAGCGTCCCCTAGGATCAGAAGAGTACTTCCAAACCACTTCTTCACACAACTCTAGAAATTTTAAAATATGTGAATTAGCCTAAAAATCTAAGATCTAATAAACATGTGAATTTATTAGGAAAATTGAAACAATGAACATGTATATCATATTCGAACCATAGAAACTAATTTGCATGGAAATGTATTAACATCTCATGTAAATAATTCTAGAAATAATAAACATGTAAAACATGAATCAAAATCTAGAACAATTTAGAACATGTCAATTTTAACTAAACAGACTCTTGAGTATGAAAATTACATTTAGAATCTATAAAATAAAATCATACTCATAAAATTAAATTATATGCAATACTCGGACCAACCACCATAGGACATCCATTTATGTACTAAATCAGAAACCAAATAAAGAGCCATGCAGTTTATGATGTAAATCAGTGCCATTTTCCCAATAAAAAAGTAGCACACGAAGCCTGAATTTGCTAAACAAGAATCGAATAAAATTATGTATAATTTAGTTACATAAATTAGAACCAAAACAGTGGCCTCCTATACGCTACAGATTGACTAGAACAAACCAACCAATAGCATGCATATATATAAAGTTAATATTCTAATCATGACTACTAAACAGGAATGTAACCAAATCAAAACGTGCAGGGAAAAATTATTACACATTACTTATGAATCTATTTATCATAATTCATGGGAGACACATTTAATCTATTTTAAACATATTGTACAAATTTGTGATTTAACTAAAACAAATAGATTCATATTTAATCAGTTAAATTACATAACATGAAACATGATTAACATAAATACATACGGAACCAAAATACTGAAAACAATGAATCAAACCAAATTCTGTGTGATTCCACAGCGTCCTTAAAACAAATTAGCCGCCTCACCGTGGGTACTGGAGGAACATCGACTTCTGTCTCTCAAGATAAGATGGTTTAGACAGATTAACACAGAAACACTTTCTGTTAGCTTTGGAGAACGACAATGGTAACATTCTTTCACACAGAAAGAATATATTGTAGGAGGAGACTAACTTGACTATAATCTGAGAGCAAAAAAATCTGTAGCAAAACTAAAGGGGATGGGTCTCCTTTTATACACCATGGGGGAGAGAAGATGAGCCTCCAGCCATGAAGACTGGCAACTGATGGCCATTATTTCTGCAAAACTGCGGAGTAATGGACCAAAACTGATGGGAAAAATATCTGAGATATATAATTTGTATACACAATTGTGTATATCTGTAGCAGACTTGGCCTAAAAAGATTAGGTTGGTGGAGCCTCAAGCCGTAAGCCCAAGACCCACGACCCACGGATCACAGACCACAGACCCGGACCCAGTCCGTTTGGATGGGCGGCTCGCGCACGTGTGGCAATTTTGTCATAACCAACTTGGACCATAGTTTTGGCCCAAGCCCATCCTTGAAACATCCATAACTTCATTCCTTCAAAAAATTTGGATGCCCCAAAGGGCTCATGCCCTTATCAAAATCTTGAGGTTTAAATACCCATAAAAGCTTTCCTCTACAATCAATGTGAGATTAGTAGTTATACACAATTCACAATACCTCATTCATGAGATAATTTCTCATTCAATTCTCAATAATTTTTTGTCATTCTTTTTGTGGTGTAAAGACCTTTTTACAAAGAATCTAAACTCATTTAATCCCACATCAACAAATAGTTGGGACCTACTTTAATTTCACATTAAAGTTACCAAAAAAACCCATTTTTTTCAACAAATTATTCAATTTTCAATCTCACTTGAAAAACATTCAACAATTATTCACTCTTTCATTCTAAGAAACAAGCGAAATACATATCTCTTGTACGGCTTAATTGCAAGTTTCAATCAAAACAATTATCGAAATACAACGAACAAAATTCAAAATAGAGCAATTATCACAATTTTATAATTCGATTATGAAACTATCTCTTGCAATTTTATAGAAATTTTTAACTTAAAAAGTCAAAACTATATATATATATATATATGAGTAGAGAGAGTTTGTGTTTATCACATTGATGATTGAAATAAAAATAAAAAAATAAAAAATAAATAAAAGAAAAGAGAAGTAATGAAAAATAAAAATGACAAAATCATCTAAAATGAAAATGCATGCATTTTTTGTCCTAAATATATAAGAAATAAATTTTGAGGAACTTTATACATTAAAAAATATTTTCTTGTCCTTTTAACATTATACAATCATATGATTAAATTTTTCAAAAATAAAATACAATTAATTTTTTTTTCTCAAATACTTTTTTTAATTACTTATTGGGACTGGCTTCTCTTCAATATGAAATCGGACTGAAGAGGTGTTATCTATCCCATTGGGTCCATTTCTGAGCTCCATTTTGATAATTCAAACTGTTCACATTTCAGGGTTCGTCGAGTACATCATCCTTCAAAAAATCAAGTCAATCATATAACAATAATAATGTGTTAGAATCAATTTTGTATGGAAAAAAAAATAAAAAATTAGACGTTGAAAAAATTAACGGTTCATACAAAATTTATCCGACTATGTGATTTCTGTTATCCAATCGATTTGGTTTTTGTAAAGATAATATACTCGACGAACCCTAAAATATAAACATTTCAAATTATCGAACGAAACCAAAAAAATGGGCCCAATGGGCCAAATTACACTGTTCAGTCCGAAATCTGACTAGAGACAGTCTAGATCATTATTTATTATATGAGTAAATTACAAATACACTCTCTCAAATTTGCTTAAAGTACAAATTGCCCCTTGTTATTTGAAAAATTATAAATACTTCATTGTCAGAATTTTTTATTTAACAAATTAACTAAAAAAATAAAATTTATAATTACTCTCCTACGTAATAATAAGATTATATAAATTAATAATTAAAATATATTTTTAATATAATTAAAAATTATTAATTAATTTAATAATTTATTAATAAAAAAATAATTTATAATGAAATTAAAAACTTTAAGTGCTGAAATATAATTTTCAAACTATAGCTATTGATTCAGGTCAGCCAGGTTCTATGGTGGAGGTAGATACCTAAGAAGAGAGAAAACATTGACCACGCATATGGAGGTAGATACTTTCGAGTTTTATATTATAAAATTGCAATATATATAATTACTTGAGCGCGGAGTCTTTTTTAATTATTATTATTATTTTTATCTTGAATTGTCCCTGATCCGTCTTCTACGTAAAGCAGCTCAATTATTCAAACACATACAGAGCAACCAATAGAGAGAAACATGTCTAGACAAGAAGAAAAAGGAGAGATATTAAACCTCGAAAGTTTCTTCCATCCGCAGCATCCTTTAACTCTGTTAGATGATGAGTTGACTGACGGCGAGCGCTGCAATGAGTGCGGCCTTCAAATCTCAGGCCCTGCTTTTACTTGCACGCCCTGCAAATTCTTCATCCACAAATCGTGTGCTGAATTGCCCTCTCAGATTCATCACCCACTTCATCTCGATCACCCTCTAACTCTCTCAAACCCGCCTTCTCCGCCTTCCTTCAACGGAATCTTCGTTTGCGAATTGTGCTTAAATATCCGCGATGGCTTTTCCTTTTACTGTGCCGAGTGCCATTTCGCCATCGACTCCCGCTGTGCCCTCCACATACCATTCACAATTCAACATGCTGCTCACGAACACCCTTTGTCACTTGTCTTCTCCAAATTTTATAAAACTTGTGTTTCTTGCAATACTAAAACCGGTATCTTCTATGAGTGCACCGTGCCCGATTGCAGCCTCTCCTGCATCGCCCCCACGACTCTCGACTTTGATTGTGCTCTTTTGCCAGCCAAAATAAAACACATTTACCACAGGCATCCACTCCAACTTACCCTTTTGCATTCCGAGGACGACTCTGATGAGGAGTACTATTGTGATGCCTGTGAAAACTTGCGAAACCCAAATGGATTGTTCTATTGCTGCGCAGAGTGTGAGTTTGTTGCTCATACATCATGTGATGGCACGTTACCATTGCAACTGATTCCCCCAACCAAGTCATCATTAGCAACTTTCAAAGACGGAATTCATGATCATGCTCTCACCCTGGTGCCGCTGAGTTTAATGGATTGTCACGATTGCAGCTCTTCGGATTATTGTGTCCCCCATTATCGTTGCGAAGACTGCAATTACGACGTCAATGCCAGATGTGCCTCCAAGACTCCCAAAACACGCCGATTAATCCAAGAAGAGAAGGCAAAACGTTGACTTCCTGTAAACCCTTCTTATCCATCAAGATGATGATTAATGTTTTTTTTTTTTTTTTTTTAAAAAAATATTAAAAAATAAAATAAAATTCACGGGGTGTGGGCCAGCTTTAACGCACACGGGATGATTAATGTTTTGATTATGGTTGTTTGTATTTTTATTTATTATTTATAAGAAATGTGGTATGTATTTTGAAAATCAAATACTATGTATCACTGCATTTATATAGTCGTTTACCTTCCAATTGTATTCAGGCAATATATATTAGGGGTATATTATATGTGAGATTTATTATATTTAAAAAAAAAGAATAAATTATAAATACATTCTTTGAGATTTAATTAAAATACGAATTATTTCCTATGATTTTAGAAATTACATTTTACCCCCTAAGATTTTTAATTTTGTAACAAATCGTCATTTTTAAAATAAATCATCAAGTTAATTAACAATTAGTAATGATGTTAGAAATATGTTTCAATTAATAGGTTAGGTAATATTATTATCGTATAGAAAAGTAATTATGAATTTCCTTTTTTTAGTTAATTCTGTTAAATAAAAAATTCTAACAATTGGGTATTGGTAATTTTTCAGATAACAAAGAGTAATTTGTACTTTAATGTTGTGTTTGGTTGAGGGAATTGGAGAGGGATTTGAAAAGGAAAAGGAAAAAGTTGTGCGAAACTAGGTGAAATGTAGGTATATTTTATTCACATTTCACCAAATTTTTTCCTTTTCCTTTTCAAATCCCTCTTTAAATCATCCAACCAAACACAACGTAAGTAAACCTGAAGAAGTGTATTTGCAATTTACTCTTAAAAAAATAATGCAATTTATCATATCACGTAAAAAAGGCATAGAAAGTAATAAATTTTCAAAAAAAAAAAAATTTAATTGGTATGGAGCGGTCCTCATTTTGTAATAGGATAAATTAAAACTATAATCCCAAAAATTTAACATCTTTTTTGTTTAAGTGCTTAAAGTTTTAATTTTCAATTAAATCCCTAAAATATTAAATTTAAATCAATTTAATCCTGATGACAGTCTAAAAATAGAACATAAGCCTAAAGGTTACATAAAATTATTATAAGGCCTAGATTTTGATTTATTGTTAATTTAATTATTCTCAACGAGTGTGGTTTTAGAATTGGTATAGTTCTCTCAGAATAATTAATCATAATTGCTTGTATAAGTCTTTCTCTATTTCAATTCTACTATTATTTATTTCTTCTAATACATAATTATTCATTTTATCTAATTTTATTTTGGCTATTTCTAATATTATTTTATATTTCATTTTATTATGTTTTTCTTGTTCCACCATTAATTATAATTCTTCTAAACTATAATTATTTAGATCTATTTTTTTGTTTTCCGGTGATATTAATATAGAAGATCTGCTTAGAGTGTTCCCCGGTAAGAATAAGTATAATTATTTATATTATTTTCTACAAGAGTTAACTGTTTACCTTTATCTAATAATATGTATCAAACTTCATATATAATTTTTAGTTGTTTTCCTTAAGATTTTCGTTAAGTTCTTTTAATAAATTATATTATAATATTATTTTGTTCAATAATTATTTGTAGTACAATACTATTATTTAAATTATTTTATTCGATTTTTTCAATGTATTGAATATTCATATATTAATATTGGCAAGACTGAGGCATCAGGCTCCGATACCAATTATAAAACACACGCACAAAGGGTAATTAAGTTAACAAAAATTAAAATACGGGCCGTAAAACAATTTATATAACATTTGGGTTTATATTTTATTTTTATATTATGTACAGGACTAAATTGATTCAAATTGAATACTTTAAAAACTAAATTGACAATTAAAATTTTAGAGACTTAAATGAAAAAGTGTTAAACTTTAGGAACTAAAGTTGTTGTTTATCCTTTTGTAATATGAATAATAAGTGATATGAGGATTGATTTCGAATAATTCACAATTGGCAATGTTAATGGAAGCACCTGGTCCATTATCTAGATTGGATGGTATTCTCCAGATTTGTGGAGCTCATCCGATCCTAGTTTAATGATTTGAATAATTCAATTTTTTTTTTAAAAGATTTTTGATATACATCATTTATAAAAAAATAAAATATGAAAAATAGAAAAATAGAAAAATAATTAGATCAATTTGATAATTGTAATCTATTCAATCTATTGTATTTGTCCAAAAATAAATAAACGGTAAATATGCTTTTAAAAATAAACTCTTTTTTTTTTTGTAATAAACACAAGAAATCAAATAGATTATGAATATTAAATCAATCTATTTTTTGTGTGTGGATGATATACACAAAAAAATCTATAAAATAAATAATTCAAATTATCGAAATAGAATTCATAGTCGATCGCACATACTAGAATAACATCCTCCAATCTAGATCATAGAGGGAGCCCAATCCTTAATGAAATTATACCTCTAACAAAATTGGTATATTAACCAAATTTGGAATATCATGTCAACAATGCATTTGGTTATTTGGGGTCCTATATTTCTATATATCACTTAAAAAGATAAAATCAAATTAAGATAGTTATTAGACAATTTTAAAAAGATAAAATCTAGTATTATTGTTTTGTAACCATCTACACAAGAAAAAAATAGTACACAAAAATGAGGGATTGACCAATACATTTCATATTTTAGACTTGTGATTCATATAATCTCCTTTTTGTGTGTGTGTGTAATTTATTTAGTCATTTTGGATGTGTAATGACTCATTTGCTATTATTCGATGATATAGGTAACCAGGATTTTAGTGTCACATCATATCCGTCACATTGGAGTGTTACATTTAGAAAAAATATACTAAGAAGTTTTTAACAGACCTTCTAGATATACTACATCATATCTGCTACATTGAAATGTTACATTTAAAAAAAATAAACTAAGAAGTTTTTAGCAAATCTTCTAAATGTACCCAATGTTACATCATATCTGTCACATTACAGTAGAAAAACTATACTAAAGAGTTTTTTGGTGTCACATCATAAAAAGGCAAAAACAGTCTTGATATAATCTAAAATAAATTTAAAAGGATCTCACGGAATTCCTTTTGAAAATAATAGGACTTATGTGATCATAACCAAAAAAAAAAAAAAAAAAAAATATGTTTTGATTATCAAGACTTAGGGTTCGTTTGGGATGTAAGTTGACTTTTGGTAATTTTAGCCTAGAGTTAAAAAAAGCCTCGTTGAGGATGAGTTTTTTTGACTTTTTTAACTTTTGTGAGAAAAACAATGTAATGAATATGGATTAAATGTGATATTTTATCTTATTGAGCTAAAAAATTTATTTTTTTTTTGTGACTATTTTAGCCAAAAAAAACGTGGGGCTTTTTCTTCCCAAATAAGCCCTTTCGGGTATACAAGATTCTGGACTTTTGGGTAACTTTTCCCACAAAAATCTAGAGTAATAATATTAAAGAAAATTGAATGCAGTATCACCTAAATATTACTTTTTCTTGCATTAATAGTTGTAAAATTGAACCAAGAGCTCTGGCTTGAAATTCAATTAATTCTTGAGCAATGCTATCTAAATAAAAAAATTCAGACATAATTTTCATATATAATGATGTGGTTTATTGTGAACCTTTTATTTCAAAAATAAAACACCATTGAAGATGGATATATTTACAATAATGACAATGCTACATCATTCTTGTTAAGCTTTTTGTATGAATTTTATATTTTTTTAGAATTTTTCTTAATTGTTCTATTCTTTCTAAAAAATATGATTAAATAAATAATTCATTCCATAATTCAATAAGCAACAGTTAATTCAATACTAAAGATTTTAATTTTTAAGTAAAGTTAACAAATAATGAAGTAGAATTTGAAATGATACAAAATTTGAAGTCATATAGAGAGAATATTAAGACCAAACAAGTTCAATATCCAAATGGTGAATTGGGTTGTAGAGAAATTTAGTAAATTGAAATCAATTACTTAAAGCCATTCGGTAATAAAAAATAGTTTTGTTTTTTTAGTTTGATATTAAGTGCTAGACATAGTTGCATTTTGATAAGTTAAAATTAAAGTGTAGGGGGGCTCAAGGTTAGAGAGGTGATTAGAGAGGCAAAACTATGCTAATGGTCCAATAATGGTGGAAATGACTGGAGAATGAGTAGCAACAACTATCTGGGAGTTGGAGAGTGTGTAACCGGGTGAGGATGAAGCAAGTAGTTCACGGAGAAATGTATGGCAGTACCAAAATGGGCAACATCTCCCCCAAATCTCCAAAATTCTTCCTCATGAACCTTGGGAAATGGGTCCTATTTATAGGCTTTTCCTTGGTACCAAGAGGACACCAAGCGGCCAAATAGAGAGAAGACATGTGTCCCAGAGAATCACATGGAATATTCTGCCTTGAACCACCAGGTTAAAAGTGTCACGTGTCCCTCTTCATATACTGTGTACTATCTGTTTGCCTTTACAACTATCTTTTTAAGCCTCAACAAGTGTAGTTGCGATGGGAGTGTTTGGCGCTGTAACTCCCCCTTTGAGCCTCAGCAAGTGCAGTTGCAGTGGGAGTGTTTGCCTCTGTACTTGCTTTCTCAGCTTGAACCTCAGCAAGTGTACCTGCAGTGGTGAACCTCGCCGCTTTTCTTTCCTTCTCAGTTCTATTTGGTCAGTACATGCATTCTCAAGACTCCGTTAGCCTGCTATCGGCTATGTTTGTGCTCACCTCAGTGAAGCCTCCACCCTTAGCCACCTAACCACAAACTCCCTAGCTTCCCAGGGCGAAAGCCACAACCAAGTCTACTATCAGCCATGATGTGCCTCAGTACCGAGCCCAGGGAGGCTTCCTTAGTCCTACCTGTGTGACTAAGGCAAGTCCATGACCTAGGTAATGGAAAGGAGTCCCTTATGTTCAGCCTACCCTGCTCCCATCTTCGCAAGATTGCCGTGGTAAACTGGTATCTCTGGGCCTGCTATCAGTTCCAACCAGTAAATCTTAGGGCCTGCTATCGGCGCC